TGGGCAGGGCTGGGGCGGGGCTGGGGGCGGGGCCGTGGAGTGTCCTCCATTTGGAGGCACAAAATATGGTAACCCTAATATAGTACACAGCTGCTCAGGTTACTGTAGCCAGGCAGAAGCCATGCTGAAATTAGGCTGGAGCAGCAGGACTAACTCTCCTGCTGTGGAGGAGGCACACAGGCCCTGTGCTGCAGAATGTCAGCACAGTTTTGTTGTGCTGAGGGAGGGAGAAGCAAAGAGGAGACTGTTCAGGAGCATGGATCCTTGTGTGGCACACATGCCTGTTCTTGGTGGCAATGTAGATAGCAGGCTGGATCTTTGTCCTTCTGCCACGGATCGTCCCTAAAGCCTTTGGGGATAGTATTTTAGAAGTCACTGTGCAAGACAACCCCCGAGGGGCAGAGTTTCCCTCGATTAAGAAAATTAAAAAACAACAAAATTTTCTGCACCAAAGATCAGTGTTCCATTGAAAAGAAATGATAGAAAATGTTTATCATAACTGGGTTAGATTAAGTCCATGCCAATGCCAAAATCAAGTAAGGGAAACCCAATGGCAATTGGTCAAATACAGAAAAGCTGTCCCATACTTGACCATTATATTGCAGACTTTGTAAAAAGATATTTTAAAGTTTCCTTGTACAGACATAGTAGTCCAGTTTCATCTTTGGTGGAACCCCAGTGAAGTCAATGATTTTCTCCAGGATGAGTTTGGCCCTGCATTGTGTTGTAATGTCAATGAGAGAGAGGGGGGAGGGAGGTGTTTTGAGATGAAGTCTGAAAAGAGAGAGAGATAAAGGAATAATGATACAAAAAGTCTTTTTTCCAGAGGGCAGGAACTGCAGAGAAAATTCTCCCATCAGCCACTGGCAAGATTGTTGGAGGCGGATAGAAGGTAGCAGTAATGAGCTTGTCTGAGGTAAAACTAGAACAAGATCATGGATAATTTTTAATTGGATGCGGAATCCAAGATTCTGTACGTTTTCATGGGAAGTAACAAGTGAAGCATACTCACAAATGGTCAGATGATGGCACAAAGAATCCTGAAGGCCAACAGCACCAGGACCATAATCATGAGGATTCCAGGTGCCATGGTAAAGTCCCACTAAAGATAAAAATGTGACAAACTCAATTTTCTTAGCTGCCGCATCAAATCAGCACCCACCCACCTGCTGCCCTATGTGGGATAAAGAGGACAAGAAGTCAGAGCTAGACAGTAGACACAGATAAGTGCCACTTCCTTCACAAGTCTTCCCAGGAGTACAGAGCTGAAGAGGGGCAAAACTAGGAATAGCGACTAAGACAGGAATTCCCTACCTAAATGTAATGTTGAAACGATCTCATTAATGTAGTATTTGCTTTCCTCCACATCTCAAAGTGGAAAAAATTACTCTAACCTTGAATTGTTGTTTGCACTTTCATAGTCTATACTTGATACATTCCCACTTTATATACAGTAGGATACTACAACAATGTAGATGTTTGGCCAAAAGAATGCTGTTAATATGTAAAATTCTTTGATTAAACATTTATTACTTAAACTATTTCCCTTCTGTCTCATTACAACTTTGACTTTATTTTGGCAAATTCCTAAGATTGATTTGATTAATTTTGTTCCTAGACTATGAATATTCCATCCTACACTGTGGATGGGAGTTGCAGACCATATAAAGTCAGGCATTTCTTGATGCTTTAAAAAAAAAAAAAGGATGACAGTATAATGTATTTAACTGAGGTGACCATATTTTATTAGGGGTAAAATTTAAGAGGGAAAAACCATTCAAAATGCACTTAATTTTTTGTTCAGTCACTAGGGGTCAGATTACTCAAGATCTTCCATCACACTGAGTAGTGTTGCAAACCACAACTTATGCTCCTAAAGTCCATGGAACTACTTATGGAGTAAAAGTATCACAATCTGGAAACAACTCTGAACATAGGGGCATATGACGGCAGAACACAGTAGAACCTCAGAGTTACAAACACCTCTGGAATAGAGGTTGTTTGTAACTCTGAAATGTTCGTAACTCTGAACAAAATGTTATGGTGGTTGTTTCAAAAGTTTACAACTGAACATTGACTTAATACAACTTTGAAACTTTACTATGCAGAAGAAAAATGCTGCTTTCCGTTTTTTTAATAGTTTACATTTAACACAATACTGTACTGTATTTGCTTTGTTGTCTCTGTTGCTGCCTGATTGTGTACTTGCAGTTCCAAATGAGGTGCGTGGTTGGTCAATTCATAACTCTGAGGTTCTGCTGCATAAGTGTAGATATTGTACTAGCTCTATAAGAGAAAAGTTGCATCCGCAGTGACCTTGCTAATTTTTGTACCTGAGCTCCCAAATTCCACCACCTAAGGAACACCTCCAACCCCTAATAGGGTTCCAAAAGATTAAACCCCTTGGTATGCAGTATCAGCTTTTATTTTGAATGTACTATAATAAACATACTTGAAGTCTTAAACTGGATACTAGAATTTGCTCTTAAAATACTGGACTTTGGGCAGTTGGAGAAGATAGATTTGAGCTTCCCTAGCCATCACAAACTGATAGCTATTAAAAGTAAGAAAAAATATCTTGAGGGTCTTTTTAAATAACAAGCATGCAGAGTTGTGGGCAACCCATTATGGTACAAGCTCAATTTTCTGCTTAATTAAGTCTTCTCATGATGGCCTCTTCCTCCACACTAGGTTTCCTACTACTGTGACTTCAGGTGGTGGCAAGGGTGGAAGACTTAGGGTACACATGATGCAGGTAGCCAGGGTTTTTTACCATGTTGTCTAGAGCTCTTATCAGGACTAAACAGTAGTAAAAACACCAGCTATTAACCTGTCTAGACTAGGGCTCCACCATTGCACCCAGGCAGTGGTGGAAAACTTTCAGGATAAAGGTCCAGATCTCCAAAGGTAGTTAGGTGCCTAATTCCCATTCCAGTCATGAAGGATCTGGGCCTAAGAGGCTAGTGGAGATGCATCCCTGAGACATTTCACTGCCCCAAACCTTCAGCTTCAGAACAGTGGATAGGTTATATTGAAAGAATGGGGCAGGATCTGCTTTACTTGCTGCACATGTCATATTTCTAGCAGACCGTGATGACAGAGGAAATGCTTTAAGGCATAAAAGTGGAGTCCCTAAGATACGGAATACTTCAGCTCAAATTTTAGCTACTTCAAATGCTGTACCTATGTATTCTATTAAACAATTGTCTATGAAAGTAGCAATGTATGTCTATATAACAAGACAATGTAAGAAGTTTGTTTCAGATATTTTGAAATTGTTTTTACAGGTAGTGTTGAAATTTGTTCACAAATATTGTACATGTATTAAAGGAGGAAGTTGTCCTGCCTCTCTTTTTATTTTTTTAAACAGCTGCAAACCTTCTTTCTTAGATTCTTCAGATAGAATTGAGGCTACATCTCACCTTTACATTCATGTTAAAACTAATTGTGGGTAGAATTATGCCATTGTAAGTGCATTTAGTTCTAGCTGTAAGTTAAGATTTACCAATTTTTTTTACAACTGCACTTCTACTGAGTTTTATATTACACCACAGCTTGAATTTTTGTAAGTGATTTTCCTTAGCCTTACTCTAAGATATTTTGCCTCACACTGTTCCTTTTCCCAGTTCATGCTGAAAAGAAAGACCAATGAACTGTGGTAAATAAATAAGAAAATATTCTTCAGGATTCAGGTAGTAATGGTGCTTTCCTCCCAGCATGAGTTGTGAATCTGCCACAAGATACTGAAAGATAATATGCTTTTTTTACATTACACTTGTAAAACTGAAGTCTAAGAATAATTCACCTGACCCAGAAACTAAGTAGTGATGTGCAAGATTTGAGTTGATGGACCCAGGTACCTTTCCATAATCAATGACTAATAGAGTTGATCAAATGACTCATGGAACAGATTTTGTGGCTCTAGCCCATGCGTGTGAATTGTCTGATCAATAAAAACAAACAGTTTGAAAAGACAAGTTTTTACAAATTTCTGTCGCTGGTTAGTCTGCAATTTGTGTTTACTTTGGCTGTTTGTTTCTACTCCCCATGTGGAGCTTTTTAAACTAATTCTATTTAGCCAACACCAGAAGCCTGTTTTCCGACAACTGTCAATGTGAGGTGCTTCAGAGGGAATGAATACAGCAGGTAATCATCAAGTGATCCATCTGCTGTCACCCATTCCCAGCTTCTGGCACACAGAGACTATGGACACCATCCCTGGCTAATATCTATGAATTTATCTAGTTCTTTTTTGAACCCTGTTATAGTCTTGGCCTTCACAACATCCTATGGCAAAGAGTTCACCAGGTTGACTATGCATCATGTAAAGAAACACTTACTTTTGTTTGTTTTAAACCTGCTGCCTATTAATTTCATTTGGTGACCCCTAGTTCTTCTGTTATGAGAAGAGTAAATAACACGTCCTTATTTACTTTCTCCACACCACTCGTGATTTTATAGACCCCTATCATATCCCCCCTTAGTTGTCTCTTTTCCAGGCTGAAAATTCCCAGTCTTATTAATCTCTCCTCTTATGGAAGCTGTTCCATACCCCTAATCATTTTTGTTGCCTTTCTCTGTACCTTTTCCAATTCCAATATATCTTTTTTGAAATGGGGTGACCAGATCTGCATGCACTATTCAAGATGCAGGTGTACCATGGATTTATAGAGGCAATATGATATTTTCTGTCTTATTCTTTATCTCTTTCCTAATGATTACTAACATTGTTAGCTTTTTGAGACTGTAGCTGCACAGTGTGTGGATGTTTTCAGAGAACTATATACAATGACTCCAAGAATCAAGAAGGCCCCTGGAGCCTTTTGAAAAAAATTGTCTCACATTAGCTATCTGGTACAGAAGCTGATTTAAATGATAGGTAACAAAGCATTTCGCATTTGAGTTCCTTCAGAACTCTTGGGTGAATACCAGCTGGTCCTGGTGACTTCTTAACTGTTTAATTAATTTGTTCCAGCACCTCCACTAGTGA